GCCCGCCGCTGTCCCGGCGGGGCCCGGCGGCCCCGAGGGCGGCGGGGGGTGGCTGGGCGGGCTGCGCTTCGACAACCTGGCGCTGCGCTCGCTGCCGGTGGACGACTCGGAGGACGGCGGGCCGCGGGCCGTGCCCGGCGCCTGCTTCTCCCGGGTGCGGCCCAGCCCGCTGCAGAACCCGCGGCTGGTGGCCATGTCGCTGCCGGCGCTGGCCCTGCTGGGGCTGGAGGAGCCGGCGGCCGAGCGGGAGGCGGCGGAGGCCGAGGCGGCGTTGTACTTCAGCGGGAACCGGCTGCTGGCCGGCTCGGAGCCGGCGGCGCACTGCTACTGCGGACACCAGTTCGGCAGCTTCGCCGGGCAGCTGGGCGACGGCGCCGCCATGTACCTGGGCGAGGTGCTGGGCCCGGGGGGCGAGCGCTGGGAGATCCAGCTGAAGGGCGCCGGCCTCACCCCCTTCTCCCGGTAAGGCCCCGCGGGGCGGTGGCGGCGACAGCCATCCGGTGGGGCTGCGTCCTGGGCGGGGGGAGACTGCATCAGTGAGGTGCTTCTCCAGCAGATGGTGGGGCCTTCCCCGCGGCAGGGGGCCTCTCTTAAACCTCCTCGCTGCCCAACTGCAATGCTTAAATGCCAAACCAGAAGGTGGCAAAGTTTTCTTCTGGAAAAACGAGACTGTAATTGCATCTCCTTCAGGTGGTGTGGGCTGTAGGTCGAGGGGGGTCATTCTCCTCCTCTGCTCTGCACTGGTGAGGCCACAACTGGAATACTGTGTCCAGTTCTGGGCTCCCCAGTTCAAGAGGGACAGGGAACTACTGGAGAGAGTCCAACACAGGGCAACTAAGATGATTAAGGGATTAGAGCACCTCCCTTACGAGGAAAGGCTCAAGGAGCTGGGGCTCTTTAGCCTCAAGAAGAGAAGGCTGAGGGGAGACCTCATCTATGTTTACAGGTATCTAAAGGGTGGGTTGAAGGATGATGGAGCTGGACTCTTTTCAGTGGCTCCCAGTGACAGGACAAGGGGCAACGGGCTCAAGCTGGAACATGGGAAATTCCACTCAAATATGAGAAGAAACTTCTTTACGGTGAGGGTGACAGAGCCCTGGACAGGAGGTCGTGGAGTCTCCTTCTCTGGAGATTTTCAGGACCCCCCTGGATGCAGTCCTGAGTGATGTGCTCTGGGCAATCCTGCTTTAGCAGGGGAGTTGGACTAGATCTCTAGAAGGTCCCTTCGAACTCCAACAATTCCGTGATTCTGTGATTACTTCAGTCCTTGGTTATCCTCTTCTGAGGTTCCCCTCCCCTTAGGAGGACGCAGACAGCAGTGGATGTGGGGACAGCAGTGCAATAGGCACCTGACTGCTTGCTGCCATATTGCCATCCCTATGGCCCTCACAAATGGTATTTAAACTGTGGGTGTTTGGTTGGCTTGTGGTGCCAGTCCTGCTGCCAGCGGTGCCTTGTCCTCTATCCTTCCTGGCTGTGGGAAGGAAAGGTGGAAAAGCCCCCAAAAATGGCATACTGACCAAGTTCCTGCGAGGGATGGATATCTTCATTAGTCAGTTTAGCCTGCACTGCTTTAAATCTTTCAGGTCATTTTTCCCACTTGCATTTCCTGTATTTTCTGTTCCAGCAGTGCACAGGCTCTGTAACACCATAGTGGCCTACATGTGGTGCTCTGAAGGCCACTTGCAGGTCTGTGAAGTTTAAAAGTGAAAAGTCCCCAGATACAGTGGTGGTGCTGTGGGTCTGCCCTGGGCAGCTCTACTGCTTGCCTGTGGCTCTGGAGGAGTCCTAAGAGTGTGGGCTGAGAACCACCTGCTCCTGTTCCATTTGCTAGATTAAATAAGTTTGCTGTCTGTTCAGTTGGTTTTGTTTGTTTTTTTTTTTTTAATGCAAATGCCATGTGTGCTGGTATTTAACACCCTATTTCCAGATTACTTACCCAGAAAGATCCAAAATAGTATTTTTCAAGAGGCCTAACAGTAGACATTTTAGTAAGAGGAAAACAGTGCCTTCTAATAAACGTGTCTACAATTTTTTACTTTTTGAAAGACTCTGTTTTGTCAATGAAAACAAGGTTAATGATTAGAAGGGATACTTGTACCTGGAAGGTTTATTTTCTTCCGTTACATGTGGTCTTCACTGCAAGTGTGTTGTGTCAGTCTGGTTGAGCTTTAACAGAAGTTTGAAGGTCTGGCTTTTGTTTTCGGATCTGCCACTGCTCTTGTGTGACTGGGGACAGAGCATGTCACTCCTAGGCTTTTGTTTCTGCACTGCTGAGGGGGAGACCCGAGTTCCTGCCTTTCCAGCCTGAAAGCTCTCTGTGTCTTCTTGTTGCAGACAAGCCGACGGTCGGAAAGTCCTGCGGTCCAGCATACGGGAGTTCCTGTGCAGCGAGGCTATGTTTCACCTGGGAATTCCAACAACGAGGGCTGGAACGTGTGTGACATCCGACTCAAAAGTCGTCCGTGATGTATTTTATGACGGGAATCCAAAAAATGAAAGGTGTACAGTTGTCCTGAGAATAGCTTCTACGTTTATAAGGTAGATGCGTATTTTGTTGGGGTTTTTTTTTCCATTCTTTTAAAATCAAGCACACCACAATCTTTTAAAATATCATTTGAAGTGTATTTCCATAACAGCACCATTTGCCTGTTTCTTGTTCTGGAGGCTTGGAGTTCTTTTGCTGGGCTGCAGGAGGCTGCTCTTCTTGCCCAGCGGATGGGATAAGCTGGTGGCTTTGCACTAGGATGCTAAGCACTAGGGATGCTAGCCTGGGAGAAAGAAGAACTTAAGTTGTGCAGACCTCAGAAGAGGTTTTTCATGTTTATGCCTGCACAGAATACATGCTTTTTTTTTGATATTTGTAGTTAGTAGTGACGGCTTATACTTCTACCCTTAATTCCAAAGCTGTTCTAATGTAGTAGTGTCAAAGTTTGGGTGTACTTTCCCTGCCTGAGATTTCTGCTCTGACACAAAACATGAGGAGTTTTAGGAAGTTGTACTGCTTCTTGTAAGGTAACAGAGTATTAGAGGAAGGTGAGGCATAAGGAATATGGGCATGTATATGCATGTGTATATATGTGTGTGTGTGCCTGTGTGCATGTATATATATATGGAGAATCTATTTTACACACTTGCTTTACAGTATGGTATTTTAAGTAAGCCCTGTTCCTGTATATTTACTCAGGCTAAGAATTTTTCTGTAGAAGTGGTTGTAAGAAACTTTAATGAGCTGATGATCAGTTACTGGCTTGGATCTTGATCTGTTGGTTTATTTACCCATGGATATATGTGCTTCCTTGCATTGAGTCACTGAGCCTCGCCAGTGTAGGAACTTCCTACGATGTAGGTGTCAGAATCTTGTGGGTCTTTTCCCTCAGTCAGAGACTGGTATTAAAGAAGGACTGGTATTAAACTCAAGAAGTGATGTGGTGTTATTGCAAAAACAGTAAATGTTTTTACAATATGTAATGTCAAATGAAGCTAATAGTATCAGATAATGCTAAAACATGTTTTTTATTATTTTAAAACAGATTTGGTTCTTTTGAAATTTTTAAACCTCCTGATGAATACACAGGACGCAAGGGTCCCAGTGTTAACCGAAATGATATTCGAATACAGATGCTTGATTATGTGATCGGCACCTTCTATCCAGAAATCCAGGCGGCTTATTCAGACAACAGTATTCAGAGGAATGCTGCTTTCTTCAAAGAGGTAAGAAATACCGGATTTTCTTCATAAATCCACAGCTGTCATCTTTAGCATTTTCACTGTCAAAGACAGATGACAGAGTCAGTTAATACCTTGTATCGTCCGATCGCTTGAACCGTTGATTGCTTGCTCCACTTTCTTTGGAGAAAACACTCTTAATAGAACTGCTTATTGATGAAAGCAGTGTTGATATTGATCAAACCAGTGAAAGCATTTTAACCTTTTTAATGGTAAATCATGATTTCTCTGCTCTGGGAGAGCTTCTCAAGACTTGTCTTTGTTTGCTGAGAGTGGCTTAGACCGTGAGGAGGAATTCTGTCCCCAACTGTCAGGTGACGAGTTGATGGTACCGAGACATCGATTGCAAAGCATTGTCTTGTAAAGTACTGAGAACATGGAGTCACTTCCTGTCTCTCACTTTTCAAATTACCAACAGGAATGTTGACTGCAAATGACTTTAACTTGAGGCTTTAGAATCAAAATGGTTAAAGGCAGTCAGGCACTGCAAGGGCTTGCCTGAGAAAGTTACAAAACCTTCAGCTTTGGGAATGGTAAGGTCAGGTGAGATAAATGTGTTTTAGATGCAGTGTAGTATCAGGTCATTCTGCAGTGGCCCAGAGGAGAGGCTGGGTTCTATTTTGAACCCTTTTTCAGCTACTGTATACATTTGGACCTTAACAATTACTACAGATCCATAATAAATAATCAGAACTATAACATTAGTAAATGTAGAATTGCTATATTTCTCTTTGAAGTAAACTGCAGCTAAATTAATTTGTATCTGCAGTTTATCTCCTGGATATACCTTTTGCTGCACTGTTGATGTTGTATTGCTGTTTCTGACATTGAATTTCTCTTCCTTTATATCCAACTATATTCCTTTGTCTCAGTGAGTAAAGAAAGAATTTGGGGTCAGGGAATAAGATACTTCTCTTCCTGTTTTAGTGATCAGTATGTAGTCATGCTGCCCTTGCAGAAGGGATGCAGTTGGAAATTCCTGGAGAACTGTCATAAAGGCTTCGGTTTGGATTACCTGAAGTTCAAATAATGTTAATACCCAAATAAGAATGTTGTAACTTCTCAGTAAACAGAATAATAAAAAAATACCACAGTCTAATATATTTAATTAGACTACATAAAAGCAGTTGTGGTGCTTTAAATCTGAAATGATCTGGTAGGGACTGAGAGAATGGCTGCAACAAGGTAATGCAAGGTGTGGTGTGTGTGGTCCACCAGTGGCTGCCAAAGAGTTTACCTTCACTGGACAGGCCTTTTGCGTTGAATGATGGAGCTGATGGCGAGGACTGTGTCTTGTCCCTGCGCTCTGTGCCTGCCCAGCTCTGCAGTTGATGGCATGTTTACTTTCTGATGGCAGAAAAGTCGTGGGACTCGGGGATCTTTGCAGATGCCTGTGTGTGTGCCCAGCCCTGGCTCTTTTTGTGGTTGCCTGTTTTTCCTGGCCCAGTTACTACTGGTTTCCTCCCCTCATCCTGGCATCCTTATCGCCCCCATTTCCATTCTTTAGTTTGCTGTGCTCCTCCAGCCTGTGCCTGTCCCTGTGCCCGTGCCAGCATTGCCTCTTTGTGTTTTCTCTCCTCCTTAGTGGAAATTTTCCATACCTGTCTCCCATCTGAAAAGCACCCCAGTCCCATACCTAATTTTCCAAACACATCCATCTTTTTCAATAGCAGGGAAGTGCTGTCAGCTCAACTCTAACATGTTTTGTCTTTCTTTTTGCACTGTGGAAGAAATGGAGGTAAAAAGTACAAGTGATTGCATCAAAGAGCACTGTCTAGAAAGCCAACAGCATTATCTGGACTCCTCAAACAATTGTAGAAGTTGTTTAAATTTTAATGAGCATGTCCTTGAGACAGTGTCTTTATTTATGTATACACCATCCTTGTTTTTCAGTATGGCTAGCAGGAGGAAAATGTGATCAAAAAGAATAAAGGTCAAAGTGAGTGCAAAACTGTCCCTTTCTAATCAATATACCCATCTTTGAGTGATGCCCATGCTTTAATTGCTTTCAGGTGTTCTCATTAGCAGGATTTATTTTTCACCAGGGCACTGGCAGTGTGTGATGCATTCATACAGAGACTCCAGCAGTCACAAATTGCCTTACCCCTGGTGTGCTTTCATCCTGTCCCTGCTGGCCTGAATTTTTTTTTTTTTTTTTTTTTTAAAGTTTTGCCATCTTCCTGGCACAGAGCCATCGTGCAGGGTGTGTCTCCCTTACTGGTTTATGGCTGGTAATCAGTTTTGGACAGGCACAGCTACTTGGAGTAACTTCCTCTCTGTTAACTAGCTCGGGTTTTAAGCATTAATAAAGTGCACTTCCATTGCAGCTATAGAGAATATTTGCTTTAAATTTCTGTACACTGATAGCTATTTGGGAAGATGAGTGATTTTAGCTATGAAAGTAATTCGATTTTAAAGTTTTAACTAATGAGTACATAAATTTTTTATTTACAGCAATTCAGTAAAATATCTAGAAATACCCAGGTTTATTTAAAAGCCAGGTTAGCTTCCTGAATTTTAGATTTCATAGGGCATATCTAGTTGTGATTGACAGGTGGGCTAGTTTAATTAAATAACTAGAACTATTTTAAAATATCACACTACTTATTTGAGGAACAAGGCACATGCAGTGATTATAGTCATGGATGCTACAACGATAACTCTCAGTTAAGTGACTGAAAAACTCTGGTGAAGCATGGAGTCAGTGAAGAATTGCATTTAAATTAAATTGTCATTCTTGGAATATTTTACTTGACCTTGTAGCTTTTTTCCACTCTCAGCAAATTGAGATAAGTGCTTATCAGTGTTAAAACTTCTTGGCAGGGTATAATTTTTTTGTGTGAACCACTTACCTTCCTGTAAATCACTCCTACATACCAGGTAAACCAAAAGACTAACTTTACATTGGGCTTCATTGCAAATACATAATTCTGCTTCTTAGACTTTGCTTATGTTTCCTCCTGCCTGTAGTTAAAGGGTCTTTAGAATTAGTAGTAAGCTAAAGAATATATTTGTATAACTCCAGAATAGTAGGCAAGTCTGGTGTCAGTTTCTGTATTTCAGCGTTCTGTCTCCCCTATGTTTTGAAGTTGTCCAGTTGACTTAAAAGTCAGTCACAGAAGGAAAGAAGAGAAAGTGAGCAGAAATGGGAGAGTGAGAACCAGGGCAGTTACTAACAGAAGGGGGGAGAGGAGCTGTCCTTAAGATATGTGTGTGTGGCACGCTGCCAGAATCTGCTTCCACTGGAGCAGTAGAAAGATTGGTTCAGGCTAGGAAATGCTTGGAAATATGTGAATGTATTGGAAATATTGAAAAATGGAAAAAAAAAATTTCTCTTTTAGATAACAAAACGGACAGCGAGACTGGTTGCTGAGTGGCAGTGTGTTGGGTTTTGCCATGGCGTGCTGAACACAGATAATATGAGCATAGTTGGACTAACCATTGACTACGGCCCTTTTGGATTTATGGACAGGTCGGTGTGGCATAATTATTTGAGATGTGCATGTGTATTTTTTATGTGGAACAATCTTCATGTTCACAATTGCTTTAGTATCTTAACTCTAAAGCAGATTTATGAACCCTCTTTATGGTAAAGTAGATTAACTTAGTTCTAGTTGTCCTGTAATTTTTCTTTTCAACTTCTTTTTAACTGTATTCACATAATCTCTGACTGTTAGACTGTCCCTGTAGCCTGTGGGGTCTCCCAGTGTTTGAGAGGGCAGGAAAATATCTAAAGAAGTAACTTTGGGAAAAGAATCAAGGAGCAGCGCTCCCTTTCAAATCTTTTACTTTCCTAGAGACTAGGAGACTAAATGAATCCTTCCCACGGTACTGCTGGGCAGATAACTAGAAGAATGCTAACCATTTCTTCATTTGTAGATATGACCCTGAGCACATTTGCAATGGTTCTGATAATACAGGGCGCTACGCTTACAACAAGCAGCCGGAGATCTGCAAGTGGAACCTGGGGAAACTCGCTGAAGCTCTAGTTCCAGAGCTGCCTTTGGAAATAAGTGAGCTCATCCTGGAAGAAGAATATGATGCAGAATTTGAGAAACATTATTTGCAGAAGATGAGGAAAAAACTAGGCCTAATCCAGCTGGAATTAGAAGAAGATAGTAAGCTGGTGTCTGATCTCCTTGAAACCATGCATCTCACAGGTTGGTGAGGAACACAGAGGGTTATTATTTAATAGCCCATCAGTATTTTATAGTCAAACTCAAATGTGGTTTTTGTCTTGACCTTACAAGAAAGCAGCGTCGTACAAATAGGTTATCATCTGAGAGAAGAGCAAAAGACTGAACACCAATTACCATCTTGTGAACTGTGGGACAGTTTTTGCCTTATATAGGGCTCCCCTGTCTTTCCTTTGCACATTCCCTGAGGGAGCAGTTCTTGTGCCTATTCAGAGAGGCCACCTGTGCTACTGCAGGGCTAGGAAGGTTAGAAAGAAAATATGGGGCCTGTTTTTCTGCTGATTTATTAGTTGCATTACTCATGGAGTTCCCTTTTTCAGGTGGAGACTTCACAAATATTTTCTACTTGCTGAGTTCATTCTCAGTGGACTTTGATCCTTCACAATTGGAAGATTTCTTAGAAAAGCTTTCAAGTCAGTGTGCTTCTGTAGAGGAACTGAAAGTTGCTTTCAAACCGCAGATGGATCCAAGGTAATACTCTTCTTTACTCAAACACTTTTGGCCCGTTCTTTTAATTTCATTATAACCCTAATGAACTCTGCATGCTGGGTAATATTTGACTAAATTTGGAAATTTCACTGTTAAGTAGGCACATCATGACAGCAGTGCAAATTCTTGTATGTTTGTGACTGATGAGTGCTCAGCAGTGGCTTGCAGCAGTTGGCTCTTGGGCTAAAGATGTCTGAGCTTTTGTTTGGTCCTTTTTGCCTCTGCTGTCTTTGCTGACTGAGGCAATGAGAGTGCCAGACAGTGAGGAGATACAGAAACATTTTACAGAAGAAATGGATTAACTGTTTTCTGCCAACAAATAGTCATAACCTAAATGCACGCTTCAGGCTCCAAAAACTGCATGGTGCCATCCATGTCCCATTTGATGGGTTATGTTCTGCAGCCCAGCTGCTCTAAGCATGGAAAAATAGTAAGTTTTGTTCAACTGCTGCTTCTAACAGTGATTGCAGCAGTTTTTCACTTCTTGGAGCAGTGGAAAACAGGAAATTAATGTGACCCATGAATTTGTCAATTATTTTTTTTTTCTATCATCTTCCCAGATGGGGGAAAAAATCAAAGTGGGGGTGTTTTGAGTAGGGTCTCCCCTGTTTAATATGTATTCCATGAAGGTAACAAACCTACCAGATTCTTCAGTGTTTTCTATGTGTTGATATCACAGTTAATTTGTAGAAAGCAGGGAGTTCAGAAGATGTACTGGTGTAAAACTCGTTCATGCAAGTTTGCTGTTATGCCAGCGTGGTTGGCTGTAGTCATTCGTCATTTTGGAGAGATTAATGGTCATTTAAGTTTTAGTGATGATACACTAGAATGAAAAGGAACTAAATCAAGGTGGTGGTTGCTGCTTATTTTGTTTTGTTCCCGATTGCAACTACTTTGAAACTTAACCAGATATGGAATATGAATATAGTTCGTGTGACAGATGAGACAATATATTTTTTTAATGTTACATTCAGGCTTAGAGGAATGTGAAAAGTAGCTATAAATTATCATTATATGGATATCAAGCTTTGAAGGGGACTAGTACTGTGTTAAAGTGAGTGATGTAACTGATTTTTTTCACAGCACTTGGATATCATAGAGCTGGGCATGTCAGGTGTGCAAATCAGATTTGGATAGTACTTTATATAAATTTAAAAATCAAAGCACCTAGCTTATCTCTGTTTATTAAAAGTAGGAAAATATAATCTGAAAATAATGAGTTGTCTGTTTCAAGGCTAGGCAATAATGTTTCTTTTCCCCTTTGTTTATAAATGCATTCGTAGAAGGGAATAAAAATGCTTAGTGTGTTTTGATATGCTCCAACGTAGGCTTTTTGGTTTTTTTATTTTTATCTTTTGCTGTAGTGCAGTTATTAAGCCAGGAAAAATAGAAGTTGGCTAGCATGGTATCAAAAATGAGGTGAAGCTGTTGTACAGCATCCGCTAACACAGTCAAATGTAAAAAGATACAATTCCAGTCAAACTTGCAGCAAAATAGCCTGGATATTGTTAGGAATTTACTACTACAAAGAAGTTCTCATTCTGTGATTTAGACTGGCTAAATTTAAAAAAAAAACACACCATTGTCTCATATGACTTAAATGAGGTATCTTTCCCCATTTGATTTGAGTTTTTCATAGTAGTGATAAGATTAGTAGGTGTTAGATCCTTACTCTGCATGCTATTGCACTATTAATGTTAGGAAAAGAATTCTATATTGTCTTGGTACCTAAGTAAGATCAAATTCCTTATTCCAAATTCCATTCAGAGTTCCAAGGGTGTTTTGATGAGAATTGCAGATCTACACCCACTGGTAATTCTGAGAATCTGCTGTCTGCACTTCATGTACCACGGGAATGTGAATTGAACACACTGAAGAAGGGGGAAGGAACAGTAGAATTAGTATAATTTATTATAAATTTGTTCTGTTAATTATAAAGTACTGTTATTTAACCTCTCCAGTGAAATCATAGGTTATTGCAAATGTTTTCTTATCCACTTTATGGTGGCAAAGAAGTGGTTCTTGACAGGCCGCTCAACTTTAATATCTAATGTGTTTGTTTTTCTTGTTCCCAGACAACTGTCAATGATGCTAATGTTGGCTCAGTCTAATCCTCAGCTCTTTGCATTATTTGGAACAAAAGCTAACATAAATAAAGAATTAGAACGCATTGAACAATTCTCTAAACTGCAGCAGCTAACAGCAGCTGATTTACTCAGCAGAAATAAAAGACACTGGAAAGAATGGCTGGAGAAATACAGGTGAGGTTTCTCAGCATTCAGAGCTGTGTATTTGTTCTGCATTTTATGTGATTGTGTCTGTCTCACAAAAGACACCTTGTCTTGATGTGTATAGGTTGGGCAGGACGTGTGGGGCATGAAAATCAGAATATTAACTACTCCAGAGTCAGCATCTTTGTTGCTGGGCAATTTCAAGGGCATCTGTGTATTTTGTTTACTAGATTTTGGGGAGGGATGAGGGTATAGAAATCACGTAGCATCAAATCTGGTATTAAAAGTGGTGATCTTAATTCTAGCAGAGACTAAGGTGATTTGTGAGTCTTTAAATGCTCAGTAATTACAATTGACTGACCTCTCAGTGTTTCATCTTTTTAATTTTTTTTTTCTGAAAGAAAAATCTCTGTATGAATATAGAAAGCAAGTTAATCAAAGAGTAACTGTAAAAGAAATAATAGCCAGGAAAAAGATATCCAGACTATTCTAATAGGTGTAACTTAAAAGCCTAAAAACTTAGTGTTAGCAGGAGATATTTTTTTTAATAAAGAAAACCCTTTAGTAGAGCATTAGTTGTTTCTGCTGCATGGATTAGATCAGGACTCCTTTCCCCCTGGTTGCCTGTGGTTCTCCAGTGGGGCTGAGAGTTTCAGCAAGTGTTCCTGCTAATGGGTAGATCAAACTGCCTCAGCAGTATTGTAGCCCTTTGCTTTTATTGGAACATCAGAAGCTGCAATGCATAAACAAGCGGAGAAACACTTAAGCCAAGTTCTGGATGTGGTGATTATTGCAGAGCGATGCAGAACAGACCGTGCACCAGGAGGTGTGTGTGGGGTGGTCTCTTAATCTGACTTTTCAGTGAACATACAAGGTGTGCCCCTTCCTCGAGCCTCGTCAGGGCCTGCTGGCAGTCTGTAATGCTGCTCTTAAATCAAGTGGTGGTTTGTAATTTGCTCTTGTGCTGGATTTTATAAACTGAGGGGATTGTAGATGATGTAATATTTATTCAGAACTGTAAACTAAGGTTCTCAAGGAAACGGGTCAACTTCTTCGTGTGATTCTTGAACCAAACCAGTTGCTTTCACTTGCTCAATTTCAGAGCCCGTTTGCAAAAAGAAATAGAAAGCATTAGTGATGCTGACACCTGGAATACTCATCGTGTGAAGGTCATGAATTCAAACAATCCCAAATATATCTTGAGAAATTACATTGCCCAGAATGCCATAGAAGCAGCTGAAAACGGGGATTTCTCAGAGGTATGCTGTTACTATGTAATGTTCTCTGGGTTTGTGAGGATGTGTAGGGGTGCTGTTGATGACTGACGCTATGCTGGGAGAGATTCTTTCTGCTGTCTCAGGAGGTCTGGGAGGTCTGGGGTGTTTTTGGTTGGTTTGGTTTTGGGTTGTTTTTTTGTTTGTTTGTTTGTTTGTTTGTTTTGAGGGAACTGTGGTTTTAATGACTGTAGAAGAAAAAAAGAAGTTGAGCTGCTGAAGTTCAGCTTTAGATTTTCTTGTAGGCTGATCCCAGGACAAGACACTCACCCTTGCTGTTACCGTCTTCAGGATGGTGTTTACCTTGGGAGGCAGCTGGGGATTAATTTATACTTGTTCCTTGCTGTGCTAAGTGTTCTCTTTTAAAACGTGTGCCTTTCACCTGTGGTGTTCAGCACGTGAATTGTTACACGCAGAATATGGGAAATTAATTTATTTTGAGAAATTACATAAGAACTCGTATTTGAGACTTGCATTTTAAGTTATTTGAGCTTGAGTTCCATACAGACACAAACTCAGCCAGTTATGATTTTACAGTTTTCAATCTATTTGATATGTATATTGTTCACCTGTTTCATATTTGGCTTGTTCAGAGTTTGGGTATTAAATAGAGTATACTCTATCATTATAAATACAATACACTCAGTCATTATTTGGTGTGAGGTTCTTCTCTACATCATTTTGCCTTTACTTTCTAAATTCTCATAACCATGCTATGTTTTCTTTCTAGGTAAGAAATGTACTAAAACTCTTGGAGAATCCATTCCAAGAAGCAGAAGGCGTCAGGGAGGTAAAGGAAGATGCAGAAGAGGAGGGAGCAACTGCTACAGCAGCTGCTTGTGCTCAGGAGACCAGAAGCAGACTACCATACTGCAGTAAACCTCCGCTGTGGGCTTCTGAGCTCTGTGTTACATGATCTTCGTAACTGCCTTGTTTTATTTTTTGCTGTGAACTGAAGACTCTGATCCTCCTTCAGCAGCGAAGAATTGAGCAAGGCAAACAGCAAAGTGCTATGAAGTTATTGAAACAACCCTGCATTTGGATGCACCTGCAGCAGTCCTCAGCTGTGCTTAATTTGAAGCGATTGTGGATCACTGAAACCAGCCAATGACAATCAACAGTCCGTACTCGTCAGTAATTTGAATGTTTTGAGACCTAAAGTCTTCATTCATATCGCACTGCAAGTAAAGAGCAATATTTTACGTTGAGGCAGGCTGGATTTTGAACATCCAAATGGAGTTGTTGTTATGTGAAGACAAAAATAGCAAGTCAGGAAACTGATCTGTTTTTGTCTGATGTCTTAACTAATAGCACTTCTAACATTTACTTACTGCTTTCTCTATGCAGGGACTTCTGGTCCTCTTTAATGGAGGAATAGATTCAGTGTTGCTTGTTTTAAGCTGTTTCATTTAATTCAGTAGTTCATTTCTTGTGAACCTCCAGAATGATATTTACCTATTTTTAGAGAATTTGTGCAGGCCGGGGTTTGGGGGCAGCAATTGAATGTGGTGTGGTTTTTGTTTTTAATACAATAAGAGCAGAATTAAGGGATACTATATTTATTTGCACTTGAAAATCAGGGTGGTAAGGTTTCTTCAGGTTGTGTATGTTTGCATACAACACGTGTAAATATTTACTAAAATCATGGGGGCAGCTTGTAAGCCAATTGACTTGGGCAAGGTCAGTTTGCCAAATTAGTGTGAACCTTAAACTACGCAGTGCTCAGATCCAGGTTCAGTGTCTGTCTGTTTGTGTGCTCTTTACAGAGCCTCCTTGCAGAAGCGGCGTGTGAGGGGGGTTCCTGTCGCTCCCACTGGTCGGTGGGAGCCTCCCCCTCCTGCTCTGGTCTCGTACCCCTTAGGTTGCTGCCGTGGTCTTTGAAAATCTTTAGGCTGAAAGCTGCCCTTCAGGGATGTGCTGTTTGAGCTTGTGTAAAAGATCGTAGAGGCTGAGGGAGGAGGATGGGAGCTGCCCTGCTTGCAAGTTACTTATTGATAGTGGTTCAGCTGAGGTTTCAGGGGAAAGTTGGTTGCCTTTATTGCTACATCAGCACAAAAAAGTTGTTGTGTAGTTAGCTATTACTTCGCTTTCTGAACTTCTTTCTAAGGGACTCTATTACTGGTTCAGAAGCCTGAAATCTTGGGAAAAAATTTGGTTTAATGCAAAGGTTTCTCTTTTCCAAAGAGCCCACCATTTTACACTGTGAGTTTAAGTGTACTCTAGTAGATTCTTCCTCCAGACCTCTGCGAGCTTGGGATTAGCTCAGGTTGAATTGTGCTCTTTTAAGTCTTCCTCAAAAAACAAGCTATCAAAAACCAGGGAGAACAGTTGGGCTACTGCTTATTCATCATTACTAATAATCAGTCTGTTCTCCTTGCTGCCACAGTACATAGGTGATGCTTGGAATGTAAACATTCCTTCTGTCTTGCCTTTGACTTGGAGAAACTGATCCATCAAGATGAGCTCTGGGCTGATTCTGTTTCTCAATTTATATCTTTCATTTTGGGAGGCAGAGGGGGACAGTGTTTTGGAGGAGCTCTGCCAAAGCTTTTGTCTTAACAGAATGGTCTAAATGTTAATGATATTACACCATACTTAAGGGACTGAGTGCTTTTTACAGAATTCTGATAGGAATTTGGGGGGTTTGAGTGGATCTCTATTCGTAAAGGTATGGAGAAGCAGAATGATATTATAGCCATGTGTTTGGACATAGGAGAACTTGAATTAACTACCAAATTATTTTGCACCTCTAGTGCCAGAATCATGGAGATAAGAGATACTTAGAAATAATTTGCTAGCAATTTTATCCTTAAAAAGGGAAATTGAATGTAGCAGTGAGGAATGAAAATGCGGTGTCATTTCCTGCTGAATACATTCTTTGCTTACATATAGATCATGTGCAAGAGGTCTAGAAAGCCTGAAATGATGACTGCAGACCCTTGGGGTGCCACTCTGAAGTTGTATTTGTAATGGATGTGGTATGTTCACCGACTGGTAGAACTACAGAGAGGGAATTGTCGTGGTGGAGCTGCGCTGACACCCAGCTGCTGGCTTCCCCCGTGCGGGCAGTAACAGCGATGCTCTGTGTTTGAAGCAACGTGATGAGCAGAAGCCAAGGGGAATCCTTGTGCTCTGCTCGTGCCCTCTTTCCAAAGGCAGACAGTAGTTTCAGCTCTGATGATAGCGAGTTTCTTCTGTTGTTCTTCCTGGAGCAGTGTGGAAGCAGGAGGTTGTTGAGAACAATTCGACCAAATTTTGTCCAGGTAAGAACTTTATCTCTTAGCTCCGTTCTTCAGAGAGAAGGGAATACAGCTTGTAACATTTGGGAGTCTAAATACTTGAATCGTAAATTGCTGCTTGATTTTTACAGCTTGTATTTGCAATAGGTAACCCTGAAAATATTATTTCTTATTGGTCAAATATTCTGCTTGTATAAAAGCCACGGACTTGTGCTCAAATGAATTGGTGACTTTTTGCATCCACAGCTTTCTGTGGAAGCACTTGATCAGACTTGGTCTGCGGCTGACCCACAGCCTGAGCTGCCCTTGCATAAAAGCAAGTGGTGCCCAGGTTACAAAACTGAAATGAGAAGCTTTTGGAGACGTGTCTGGATGGTCTCATGTGGTGGTGGGACTCCAAGCATGACTTCTTAAGATTTCACCATAACTCTGCTTCATGAGCTTGAAAATCAAAAATTGCTGAATGTTTTATTGTCGGCTCTCACTTTGGAATGTTTTGTGTTGGGTTGTTTTTGGTTTTTTTTCTTTCAAACAAGTGCTATGGCTTTGATTCTTTTATTAAAAAAATAAAAAACGCAATTTTAGTAATCTTGTTCGTGCCTGTTTCCTGGAAGAGGTTTGCTGTGAACCACACTGTTCTGCAGACTTCATTCTGTACAAGTATTTGCTCTGTGTTAGTATCAGATGGCCAGGTCGTATCACAGAAACCTCACTTTTGCAGTGTTTTTGCAGTGTTTTCTGAGGACTGAACTATTCCAGGTGTGGTCTGTGAATTACCCCGATGCCTCAGCAGGGATTCTGGCAGCACGCGTGGAGCGAGGTAAGGACCCGCACTGTTTTTGGAGAGAAACCTCCCTCTTAGTTACTGGGCCATAAGACCCGTGTGCTGACACCTCTCTAATTGCAGCGATGCAGGGCCCAGAGGCTCAGGAGGCTGCTCTTGGGTGAGGATCACTCTCCACAGGGAGTTACTGGGGGAGCCAAGGGGTTTGTGTAGTCCCACACCTGGCTGCAAATGGACTCCTTGTTTTGCTTTGCTTGTGTGGCTTTTGCTTTAATTACTAAACTATAAAAGCAGCAGTTGCTCTCAGCTGTATGAACAGGTTGTGTTCCTCTCCCCCCTGCCTTTAGCACCTCTCTTCTCCCCCACCCCAGGTGAGCCTCACAGCTGATGGAGGAGCTGCCCCGTGGTGTGGGACAGGTACCAGGGCACAGACACCAAGGGAGGGCAGGGGTGGTGAGAAACTGCCAAACAGCTGCGAGCACAGACTGCCTTTTCCAACCCCGTCCGTAATAAACAACCAATCATTCAGTTTTGACAGTAACTGCCTAATTAACAGGGGAGCAGAAATCCAAAGGGAAATATCAGGTTTATCTGACTGCAGTCAAGGCAGGCAAAGAACGTGAGGGTCTGCACCCTTCCTCCCCCCCTTCCGCAGGGACACCTGGAGCCCAGGCTGAAAGCAGCAGCATTTTTGGCAGACCAAGCTGACCTGCAAACCTTATCTCATGTGTCTTCTATTCCACAGCTGAGTTAAGGAAGAAGAAATTAGCATTTTAATAACACAGTAGAACAATAGATAGTTTAAATTGATATTGAAATAGCATTTGTTTCCTTTTTTTTTTTTTTAAAGTTTTGCAAAGAAAGGTAAGTAATGTTACCAGTTTTCAGGTGGAGGAGCTGAAGCACAGAGAGATGAAGTGATTTTGCTGCTGATGGGGCAGCAGTGTAGGACAGCTGCCTCTGACCAGCCCCATACACTGGAGGCCGAGCTGGCTGAGGGCACTTCGCCCTCCCACCTTTAATTAGGAGTTAATTAGTTTAATTAGGAGTGCCACAATTTGCATCAAAATTCTCATTTGTAGGTGTTGCTGGGTGACTTTCAGTCCACTGCACCCAAAAGTTTTACTGTCCAGAAAAGCAAGGAGCTACTGCAACCATTTCTATACTGAAGTGCTCTTAGAACACCAGAGTTGAAAACACAAATTAGTTTTTCTAGTTTGAGGTTGTTCTTGCTCTTTCCAAACTGCCCTTTCCACACAGGCAGTTTGTCCAAAGCAAAGTTAATTGTGCAGTGTGTGGATGGGATGGAGTTAACTTTCTTCACAGGAGCCTGTGCAGGGCTGTGTTTGGGATCTGCAGCCAGACCAGGCCGATAAGGGAGCCGTGTTTTGGCTGCTGCTGAGCCGTGCCAAGGCTCTCTCTTCCTCTCCCACTGCCCCTGCCCAGCTCGGGGGTGGGCAGAGCCAACCTGAACTGGCCAAGGGGCTATTCCATGCCATGTGCCATCACGGGCAGAGATAAAAATGGGGGGTGGGGGTGTTCTTAATTTCCATACTTTGCTCCCATTTTTTTTTCTAAAGCTTTTTGTCTGCAAGGAAGCAGTTCCATCCCTGCAAGCCTGCACCTGAAGCCCTAACTTCGCTGCTGGATTTTTCACGCGATTCATCAAAAAGGATGAATTTGGTAAAATGGCCAGAGCTGGGTGTGAGGACAGGAAGGTAGGTGAGGCAAACTCCAACAGCAGCATTTAACCTGACACAAAAGGATCACAGACCAGCTCAGACTAGAATGGATCTCTGGAGATATCTAATCGTAACTCTCAATTTGAAAATAACACATCAAGTAGGTGTTTATGTCTGTGAATGTTTGTACCTCATACTCATCTCTCAAGAGTTTTAGAAAGTATCTATTAATTTATTTCACATATGTGTATTTACATTGGAGGAAATTCACAACACTGAAAATACAACATTTACACATTCACAGATGTACAGTTTTGCACGCTCTCCCCTGTTAAGATCTTTTCTATCTTTGCAATAATGACAACATCAATTCTCAGCAGGTCAAAAAACTGGTAGGTGTGGTGGTTTTTAAGCAGCATCATTCTCTGTAGGTGGTGGTTATATACTTCAAGCTAGTAGATGGCAGGTCATTTCACTGAAGAAAAATGCCTCTTGCATGGCATTCGCATAAGCTTCTATAAATCATAAGCATATGGGTTTATCTGTTTCTGTTTTACCATGCTCTCAGTGATACTTATATAGAGTTCAGTTATCCTTGTAGTAGTTATTGAAGTTGATTCGCAGTAGAAAGTCCTCCAAATGGGGTTGGTAGCCTCTATTTACAAGCTTTGTTACCACTGGAAGAAAAACAAAAACTAAAATAAGCTTCAACTAAGATTAGTATTCTACAGTCAGCCTTGACAGTAGCTGTGCGTTTTAACTTACTTAACCAAAAAAAAAAAAAAGCCTAATGCAGAAATCTGGAAACAAATGTCTTATTTTTGCATAAGAAAGGTTCAGTATCGCTTTCTGGAACTACAAAGTATTTCAAATAAGACGGAAGAGAAGGATTACGTGTCAGATCTAAGCGAAGCTGTGACATTCTAATACAGAAATGCTCTCTCAGTAAGAGGGTATGTTCTTATCGCAATGCCAACGGACCAGGAAGGCTGTTTAGGTCCTCTGGTGACCTCTGTGAAAGCAGCAGCTCTGCTGAAGTTTTCTTTAGCAAAGTCCATTGCAAGAAAGAAAAAAAACCAAAGAGAAATTCCTGGGACAAACATCCTCAGTCTCTATGAATGAACAAACCAACTGCTCTAAACAACCATCCTTAGTAACAGAGGAAGAAAGGCCAGAGGCACTCCCTGAGCTCATAACCATCCCATGCACTAGTACGAAGGGAAGGAGCAAGCAGCAGCAACATGCAAGGAAGAAGGGGGAGTGTACAGTTAGAAGTCAGGGCCTGAGCCAAAGCCATTGAAGTCCAGACCACTTTGTATTGGCTTTCAATGGATTCTGGATCAACCCACTGTGAAAGAGAGCATTTTACAACAGGTGGTGGCTGAAGGGACAAGTGTAGAGGAACAAGCACACATTTCTTTTGTAGTGCTTAATGAAGAGGGTGTAAAGAACTAGGTCACTCAGCAGTTTTTCCTTACGGAACGGTCTATTAATCTCTGTCCATGAAGCAACCATAGATCTCGTAGTATGGGCTTAGTTGGCTCCCAGAGATGTTCTGACTTCCTGCAGAATTTGGAAGCAGCCATTCTAACTCATCCTGAAATACCTGGGTTTGGTCCTTTGACACCACTTTTGGACACCCTTAAAGAATAAAAAGGGCAGCTCATTTCCTGAAGAATACAGTCTGACTAGAAAATATTCTAGAAAAATAGATCTAAGGAAAAAAAGTTGCTCTTCCTTCAGGATTTAAGAGATTCCTAAAAAACAAAAACAAACCAAAACCAAACCCCAGGAACCACCTTTGTACTCAGGGGAGAGATAAAGTAACTTCTACTAAAAACACAAGCAAGATCTGAAAGAGAAATGGAAAGAAAAGACAGATGAACCATTTCTTCACATTATAGGCTAAGCTGACAGGGAGAACAACTTCTATCATGTTAAAGGAAAGAACATTTGGCAAATGATCTGTGCAGTTGAAAATCACTTCCCTGGAGCAGTGGATATGAGCTCCACCTAGTGCTAGGAGGGTCTCGGAGCTTTAGGCCAAGAGGGGAATCAGAATTTTCAAATCTCGTAACAATGGTAATACTCAACTAATGCAGGTGTGTCTGAAGTTAGTTACTTCCAAGTGGCATCTAACTGTCTCTCATTGCGGCCAATAAAAAGTTCCAGAACTCAATTCCAGAGAAAAGAAAAATGTAAGCACATACATAGAGCTAAATACCAAATACTTATTTTGCAAATTAGCAAAAACTTATGGTCAGTTTGGGGGTATCTGTTAGATTTCTTGTGTGGGCGTTTTAACTGATGGATGTGCAGATCTTTGCAAACCACAATAATGCAGTTTTCATTTGGGAGCTACGTTTTCTAACACAGGCTAAGTACAGCCAAGGCATCTTCCTACTTTTACGTTACACTTCCAAAACCTCTTTGTAATTTTTTCAGTTGTCAGTCGACTTTTTCTTCTATCTAGTACGTAAGCAATTTCTTACCTTTGAACAAGAAGTGGGAGTAATACTTGAAGGTGTTGTAGGACTGCTGCATCAGCCCGAAGTTGGGGTGAACAGCCATTTGCTTCCCTGCGTCGAAGCTCCAGGCCTGGGAGATGAGCTGGCTGCGGAACTTCAAGATGAGGCTGAAGATGCTGTGGATAATGTTCATCACGGGGGCAGCCTTCTCTGTCAACAGACCCCTGACACAACAAGAGCAGCTTTAGAAATGCGGTTGACATAATTTATTGGTTGTAGGAAGAAAAATACAAGGGGCTGGGAGTCCTTTAAGTTTCCTCTTTAATTGCTTTTAAAAATAAATCCACAAAGCTGCAGTCAAATGTAATTGTGATTTTAAAATAGGTGCCTAAACCTAACATAATTTGCTTGCACTTCCAAGAAACTGCTATTTGTATTGATGTATCTTATTTCTAGAAAGACATCTGCAGTTGCAAAAGAGATTACATTTAAGAACTTTATCATGCTCTGAGTTTCCTTAAACTGTAATCCCCTCTCATCCCATCACCTGGTATCCAGACAGCAGCTATAGCCAAGTGTTTTCTTATTAAAACTGAAAAGGAGAGACATGAAAGGGCAGATTTCTTTTCTTGTTTATAATTTCTGTTCTTTATCATCTCTTCTCCCTCCATCTCCCCACTTTATGACTCCCCTTTATACCATTTAAGAAAAAAAACAAATAAACCCAGTCTCCTCTCCTCTTATTCACACCACCTTTCTGCCTCAGTAACCAAAGGGCTAAGAGCTCGTGATTCCTACAAGAGAGATGTCTCCTGCACCGTTCATAAATCTGGACAGAGGTCACATAAGTTCCTTCAAAGTCCAGTCCTGGTCACTGCACATATGAATGTATATGTATCACTATACACATGAATGTATAAAATGTATTACTGTATAAAAGAAGCATTTTACAATCCTTGAGAGAGGCCAGCACTACTCATGCTGAATGAAAGAGCGTTCATTTAGAAAGGCCATGACAAAGGTGGGATGAAAGAAAAACAGAACCGTGGCAAGTGTGCCCTTGGTCTTCAGGTCAGAGCTGTCCTGAGTGGACTCGAAACTTGCAAAAGGAGGGTGAACAGGAGCTGGAGGCAGCTCCAAGGACTCTGGGGAGATGAAGAGGATGGGGAGCTGAGGAAAAGCATCGAAGCATAGACCTCATAACGTGCCATGAAGTTTGTTTCCCTTACTTAAACTTTCCTATGTAAAGATTAGTTTGAATGTCAGGTAGAAGTCATTTTTGCACAACTAGGTTAGGCTAGACTGGCAGTTCCATTAACTTAAATATATGAAGTGAAAATAAGTATGGTAGCTTGCCTGAAGATTGCTTTGTTGAGGTATTCAGCGTGTGTTCTGTGGATTTCTTCCAGGTTGCCTACAGAAGACAGTTTGTTTCCAAATTCACACCACGTAACGTGAAGAATCTGATTGGCAATATAACCTTGAATAACTTTGACAAAATGCTGCATTTCATGTTTATACAGCTGGAGCTGTCGGAACTGAACAGAATTTGATGCACTACTCACTAAAGCTGAAAACAAAAACAGGAATATATTATCATCAGCACCCACGGAGACTAACATCAGATTTTTACAAGAATGAAGGCTCCTGTCAGTAGAGCCTGTTTAAAATGCCAAGGAAGTTTCTTTAAAAACTGTGGCTCTTGAATTTTGACAAGACTGTCTATAAGCAATTGTCTATCACAGGGTGCTAAAAGCATTTCAAACAGGACACTCTCCAGGTCACTCATGACACTTACCAGTGCGTTTTAAGTGAAACCAAACGTCCTTGAGAGTCCACACCATGTGCTTCAGCTGAAGCAAAAAGGAGAAGATCTTGTTGTATTTATTCATGCAGCTCTCAGTAATGACAATGTTCAGAGGCCAGTCAACCTAGAAGAAAGAACAGCGCTGATCATACTACATTTCTGTGTGAGAAATTAGAAGAATATTTCAGATATTTCAGGGCCATACAAATTAATATAAGTATTTTAAGAATGTAATGCAATGGCCAGGCTCAATAAAGCCTGTAATTTACATTACACAATTTTTTAGGCATTCCACTATTAAGAACATACTCACTCTACCATGGTACACAAGAGCCATGGTATAACTGCAGTACTACAACCTTTCTCTGTGTTTTCTTACCTTGTACCTCAGCTCTAAGCAACTCAGAGCATCGGGCGCGTTGGGCTTGAACGCTTCTGGCAGGTATTTGAGGGCAAAAGAAAGATTGGAAGCAAGCTGGGTGTCACCATGAAGACTGTACTGTAGGGCTTTATTTAGGATAGAATTAAGAACCAGTGGATTCAGTAATTCACCAGGTGTTTGTCCTGATCCAAGCTAGGGGTAAAAAAAACCAAAAATCCTAGTTACACAGTATTAATAAAGAGTCTTGCCTCCTGGACACAGGTGAATTAAAACAGAATGGTAAAGGGGTGACAATCCTGCCTTGCTACACCATGCTGACTGCAAGTTTCTACTTCTGCTGTAGGGATGCATGAACAGCATAGCAAGTGACTTCTGAACTGTTTGCTGGTCACAGCACGAAGGTAATCTCATTCCTGTGCTGTGCTGGACTGCAGTTTGCTGTGGCTCAGGAGCTGGTACACCTCCCTGCTGCAGGGATACAGCCTTCCGGCTTTAGCGGGGCAGGAAGCCAGCGACAGGACTGGTGTGATCTACCTGACTCCAACCTGCCTGTCTCATCAACCCAGCACCCTCAGGGGTTTACAGATAAAGGCACTCATCGAGCCTAAATCCCCAAGTGCTTTCCCTAGTTGGGTCTGGAGCATTCTTAGGATTCATGGAAATGCATCAACCATCCTACAGCCAGGTATCCCCGCTGGCAACCAGCTACATTAACCTGGGCTGTCCCTCCTACCTCGCTGTCTTCCTCACAAACACAGAGGTAAGTCATCAAAATACTGTCTCACCAGAGGGCCCGGTGCTCTCTTCAGATGCCCTCCCCTCTGCTCTATGGGATATTTGAGGTAGGAGTAGGTATTTTGCAACCCAGGCCTTTTCACTGGATTTTAGCAAATGGCAACAGGCTCTCCCAGCCTTGCTGCCAGCAGATGGGAGGGGACAGAGCATCAGGGCAGCAGTTTTCACAGAAAAAAGTGAAATACCCTTCCATGACTGTGTATCTGTCAAAGCCTGAAATTATTATTTTCAATGCGCCAAATCCTTTTACTCTCTCTACTGCTGGGATAAGAAGTAGAAAATACAGCTCTCTTCCTTGGGATTTCCTTGGGCATTGCCATCCCTTCCAAGCAAACGCCTTCTTTTGCCTCAGCCCGAACAACACTAATGGAACTCCTTGCTAAGACTTCCCAACATGGCACAAAAGAGGAAAACAGCACAAGCCCGGATTCTGATTCACACCATTCCCTCATTCCCATCCAAATTAATCCAGAGGTGCCAAGCTAAAGCAGACAACCCATAAGCAAGGGTTAAGACAACACAGCAAATACCTTCTCAAACAACAGGTCGCTGAGTGACTGAGCAAACTCCCCATCTTCCATTAGCAAAAAGTGTCTCAGTGCTTCAAAATGCTTCTCCACATTCAGTTCCACAAAGTAGTAATCAACTATTGCTTTGTTCACAAGAGAGACACTAAGAATAAAAAACACAGAAAAGGTATGATTCTTACAAGCAACTCCTTCTTCACTGTTAACATTCAGCTGTGGCTACATCAGATTAATGCTCCAGTACTTAACTTCGATATCCAAGGCAGGATGATATTCACATAAACAAAAAAAACAAAGAGACAAAAGAAATCTTCATCCAGAATATATCAGAATTAAAACCTATCACTTCATATAACTGGGTTTTGAACAGTACTGTGGAAGTATTTTAAGGCTGGCTACATACAATGATTTTTAGAACACGCTGCTGGGCCCAGAGTAACATTATACCAACAGCCTTCTGTCTTATCTCTGTCACCTACACAAACAGATTAAGATAGATTATTAAATCCCTGAGAAGAATATGCTAATTGGTAAAGCTCTGACACTAGATATTGAGGGCAGGTCTATATTAAAGCGTAGTAGCATATGCTACATAGTGTAGGCATTCAAGCTAGCCCTAAATAATTTAACATGCTGAGCTCTGCCAGCACACAGCTCAGGGTTGCTTGCCTTGCTCTGCTGAATACATGAATCTGTACACAGATTGTGCTGGTGGCCAATCTGGACATTTAAAACTAAGATAATTAAATCTTTCTACATCGCACCAAACTTTGCATATAGCATACTCACAGTTAATAAATGGAAATCCAAACTTACAAGAAAGTAGATTCCAGAACACTTCAATACATCTGTGAGTACATGTTGCCATGACAGAAGCTAAGCTTGTAGAGTAACAAAAATTTTCTTTAAAATACCATTAGATATACTAATAAAATGCTCCAACATATATGCGGTTTCCCTATATATTCCAGTAGTAAGAACAGCTTCTATTTAACTTCAAAACAGCCTTGAAGCTGGAGTTCCCACAGAAACATAAAATATATCCTTATCAAGATGCATGACTTTTACATAATTAAAAAATTTTTCTTTTTTCCCCTTTATCTTTGATCTGCCAAATAAAAACTAGCACAAACACCATAAATAATACACTTTCTTTTTAAAAAAACAAGGAAATCAATGGTGTCAAAACTACTGTTGCAAAATCCACAAGCCTACGAGCAAACGCTTCCCTCCAAGTCCTTGTATTTCAAATAGACCTTCACATTTTTAATTTATACATAAAAATATAAGCTTGTATATTTATAAGGTAAGTATAAAAGGTAGATCTGAACTTTCTAGTCAGGAATGGACCATCTCTGGGAGCAAAGAGAAAATTAAAGAGAACAGGTCTATGTGCAATTCTTGTCTCAAAAAAGAACTAATAAAGAACATGACATTTCTACCACACTCACTGAGATACAAGAGGAGCAGTAATAGACCGCTTCATCAGCACTGGCAGCGACAGGAGCTCGCTGAGCTGCACGGCCGTTTCATCCGTCGCTGACTGCACCACAGGGTCCACGGGGAAAGTGTACGATCTCGGGATCACGTGATGCAAGAGATGGGACACTGGCAGTTCTGCTACATTTCAAAATATACAAACACTGTATGTTATTATATTTAAGCAATTTGATAATCTGTTTCTATTAAACTCTACAACCTCCTCTAGATTAGAAAATCATAATGTGTCAAAATGTATTTCGCATCTTTGTGCCTAGAAAGAAATTGTTTGGCTGCTGCAGATCATAGTATTGGTAATTTACTGGCAATTCTGGTATTTTTTCTGGCACTCAGCTTTCTTGCTCAAGTTTACCACATCTTCTATTAATTTATGGTTCCAACAGTTCTACTCACACATCAAATCATAACTATCTTGATATTTTTCAATACAGTACTGATCCGATAAGGCTTTCAAATAAGCTTGTTCTTTCTTCCACGTATCTTCCTCTCCCCCTTCCTCCTCCTTAGGCTTGGGAGCATCAGCTTCAGACAATAAGGTTTCCTGCGTCACAGTATCTTGTGGCATTGCTTTTTCAGTTCCTTCTACCTAAAAAAAACAAACGGACAAATTCTATGAGAGATGCTGACTTTGTCTCCTCACACGTGATGTGTTTTTACAAGGTAACTGACTGGTTGTTCCAACTGAAAATAAAAGACCTTACTGACCTGTACTTGTCTGACATGTAAAAATGATATGGTATTGCAGTGACTGCTAGATCAGGGCAGAAACTTAGTACCTTAACTACCCGTGTTCTTAATCCTTTGAAGGAAAAGGAAGTCTTCTCAACAAATACTTTGTTTCTTACCTGTAAGTTCTGTGAGGAATCTGGAGAAGGGTCCTTGTTGACCACATCTGCAATTACTGTAATTACAAATAAATTAAAGAAAGCATGTACTTAGACCTGCATATAATACATAGTTCATACTTCAGATCTGCTCCCAAAGTTCTTCAAATTTTCTCTGTAGGCTATCACAGAAAAAAACATCCCCATAACAGTCCCTCCCCATAGTCCCACCCAGGTACTTTTATGCACATTCTCCACTTGAGATCACACAAGGTCCTGTTTCATGAAGTTTCAGACCAGGATTTTTTAATGCTGTTTCTTATACATAGGAGACAAGATTAAGCTCAAATTCTCTCCTCTGAATTCTAACAGTCTCCAAAAAGTTATGCAAGGAATTAAGCAGTAAGTACCCATTTTGAAAATAAACATTTATAGTTACTTTCATAAGCCCTTAAACAAATGCTGAATAATAAACTTAATTTTATTTTACCTTCTTGTTTCTCTTCCATTGTATTTTCTTTTTTGTCATCTTTAGTATTAGCATCAGGAAAGACTGGAACACTGTCAGATGACTGTGATTGTGGTAAAGTCTTCTCCTGAGCTTGTGATGGTTTTGCCTCCTTTCTGCTCCCTTCAGCCGGAGGTAATTCTTCACTGTACAGAAGTGTCTGAACTGTGGAGTCAGATGAAGGACCTGAAATGGTTTTACGATGAGGTATTGGATCATCTTCTGTGGATGGGGCCCACTTCCCTATTTGGATGCTTGACTGGGATGCGTGGCCAAATGGGCTCCAACGAGATTTCAAAGGCTCTGTGTCTGAAACCAGTTCTCCAATTTTGATGTGTGACTGTGAAGCATGCCCATGGACGTTCCAACGAGGTCTAGCTGAAACCACCTCTGACACGTTTTCACCAATCTTGATATTGGCATCAGATGCATGACCATGGATGTTCCATCGAGGTCTTGTAGGAGCTACATTTGACACATACTCTCCAATCTTAATGTTGGCTTCCGAAGCATGTCCATGAATATTCCACCTAGGCCTTGAGGGCTCTACCTCTGAAGCGTATTCCCCAATTTTAATATGGGCTTCAGAAACATGCCCATGAATATTCCATCGGGGTCGGCTGGGTTCAACTTCAGAAGTATAGCTGCTGATTTCTATATGGGAGTCTGAAGAATGCCCATAAGGACTTGAACGTGGCTGGTAAGTGTCCACATGAGGAACGTATTCTCCCACTCTAATGCTGGCATCAGATGCATGTCCATGAATATTCCACCGAGGCCTTCTGTACTCCACATCAAATACATTTTCTCCAACTCTAACATGTCCCTGCCAAGCTGCAGATGGTCTGAGAACTGTATTAAAATCATACTCGTTTTGCTGATGCAATGCTGCATTGTCTTCTCCTCCCAGTGCTCCTCTCAAGACTGGCTGATTTTCACTTACTTGAGAAGTCTCAGAAAGATCCGAGCTAATATTTCGGAACGCCTCATCTAGCAAAGATCCTTGTATGCTAATGGCAACAGGCTGTTCTTCTTGTGGCTTTGATAAGAAATCTTCTATATTCACATTGGATTCAGGCATGGAATCAGCACTGTACAAAGGACTGCATACTTTCTCTGAACTCTGGAGGCTGCTTTCAGATCCTGCTGCTTCAGGCTGATCAGCGTGATTATTTGTTGGCTCTGGCACGGGCGGTGCTTCCTCAGCAGAAGCAGCACATTCCAGCCCAGGCTCAGGTTCTTTTCTGCCAACTGTCTCATCAGATTGCAGAGGTTTCACAGAAGACACCTAAAAAAAATAATAATTATTACACTGCAGGGCTAGTCACATAATCAAGCTACTTATTACGGCACCACTTTATTACAAGTAAGATTTAAAGTTTTCCAATTTTTCAGATGTACTACAAATAATGTGATAACTACTCACCCTGCTGTTAGAGTGAACCTTGTGCTTACCAAAGTGAAATGAACCATAAAATGAACACCCTTGAGGGAAACTTGGAACAGCAACATGGAATTTATGTAAGAAAATAAACTCACCTCTGAATGTGGACCTTTCACAACAGGGTTTTTGTCTAAAGCCAACTGGCACTGATTATAAGGAATAATATCTAATTTTCTCCTGTAGTTTCCATCTGGAAGTTTTTCAAGCATTTCCTGGGAGTAAAAATGACAAAACCAAAAGTCTTTAAGTACCAAGCACCACATTTTCTAAATTACATTTCTTAAATCTTTTCAGAAGATACCTCGATGCGTTTTTGATCTTCCAACAGAAACTTAAGACGGGCTGTTTCCAACTTGTGTCGCTGGATTTTCCATAACGCTCTTTGTTCCCTACGGGCTGCATCATCAGAAAGTTTGCTATAATGGTCAATTAATTCCTGCCTAAAGGAAAGTAAAAATAGAGCTACGTCACAGATTTTTTCATATTGATTTTCATCTTCTCATTTAAAGAGTAAGACCTTTTCAGCACTTCAGAACTGAGAAGCAATTTTTTAAAAGTAGAAGCCAGAGGCTTCAATCACAGGGAATAAACAGACAGAGAAAACAGGACTGTATTCTTAGTCAATATGTATTTCTATAACTATTCTTAGTAGGTCACTTACTTAAGTATTTTTAGATATAATAGAAGAAAGTGAAATACAACTAGATGCACAATAAGAGCAATTCAAATAATTACCAATATAACTCCTCCATCTGCTTTTTACTTCTGCTTTGACATATACGTGACTGGTTTTGCTGTGGGTTCAGCTTTTAATGTAGTTTTTTTTTTTTCCCTGAAATTCTGATCATTAGGGTTGGCACAAATCAGTGGGTCCCAGATTTTTGGGCCATTAACCATTCCTAAATCACAAAATTGCTCATAGATTACCAAAAATCCTTACATCCACCCTTTAACTGCAAGCATTACCTTGTAGAGTCTGAGAACTGCTGGAACCATAAACTTTAACATACAGTAATTTTTCCTGAGGTCTTTATGATGGTTTTGGAATATCTAAGTTTTGGGTGACTACTCAGATACATTTACCTTGCCTTCTTTTCCAGTTCTTCTTCTAAAGCTTTCAGTCTTTTCTCTCTCTCTCGGAGCTCTCGGGCGTAGCTGAAATCATCATCGATCTCCTCTTGCTTTATTGCAAGGCGACGCTGCGTAAATATTTAACACTTGTAAAGGCCACTCTCGGTACCAGCTGTAACACACACACCTGCAAGAAGTCCTTATTTGCACCCCGTGAGCTACTCTTTCAACTTCCGTACAATGAATCAAGACAACCTTTCAATTATTTGCCTAAGAAACACAGTTGGCCTTTAGAAACACACACAGAAATACCTCTTGGTCTTTTGCAAATTGCTCTTTCAGTTTCTGAAACTGTTCCCGTTTCTTTGCATCCAAAGCCATTCGTTCTGATATTTGTCGATCTGTTATTAAAATAAAGATATTGTTAGTTTACATTAACAAACCCACTAGAAAACACACGTAGCACCACCACAACTTACCATTAATGGCTTTTAGTACTTTGCTAACAGTTTCTCGAGCATGAACAATCAATTCTTGTTTGGCTATTTCCATGCGCAAATCCTAAAAAAAGAACCCAAACAAACAAAAACACAGGTGGGATTTTTTTCTATTATTTTAGACTTGCAAATACACTGCTGCAAAGAGAGGTGCACGCTTAATAATGCTTATTAATCTGTGATTACAGTACAGAAATATGAATAAAGCAATTAATTAAATGGAAAGACTATAAAAAAATATTGAAAGTTAATACTCTAGACCTTACAACAAACCAGATCCATCCGATACATACACTATATTGATGGCATCTGAAAGATAGAAGTCTCTTTATAACTAAAAGAGTTCAGAAAAAAACAATTAGCTATGCAAATTACAAAAAAGAGTTCTATTTGGTTACTAATTAGTTTGTCGCCTGTGAAAATTAGGATCTAACAATCTTTTCAGTACTTTTCAGTAGGAGGGCAAATCTGCTGCTGCAAAGAACTAAGAGGGAAATCCAAAACTAATTTAATGCACGGCAACAAATGACACCACACCACCTAGACTTTTAAAAGCTGTATTAAATAAATGTATTTGCTGTGGTAACAATTCAAACAGCAATTGACCAATGAAAAAATTCCCACCAAAATTACAAATTCTTTCAAAGTTATAACAAAAATGAAAAATGAGTATTGAAAAAATCTCCCAACAATAAAGTCTTTATTCTTTTATTCATTTACCTTTTCCTCCTTGCTTATGGAACTGTATCGGGCAATTCTTTCCATTCGACCCACATACACTGCACAATCTCTCTCTATTTCTTTCAGTTCCTCAAGTGAAAAGATAACTGAAATCCGGGGAACAGGTATATCTGACCAACATATATAATGCTGAAAAATGAGAAAAATGAGAAATTTCCTTTTAAACACATATTTTTAATTTTAAAATGTTAGATTATGAACTCACGTTATGGTTTTTTTAGTTTAATTTTTAGCAATGCTTCAAGATACTGAAAAAGGATCTAAAATTTTTATTAATATCATCAGGTTTAGCACTGTACCACTCAAAGTAGCAGACAGAGGTATAATGTTCCAGACCCTGGATCACAGGTCAAATTCTCAGGGTCCCACTGAATTCTTTCCCACTGAATTGGAGAGGAATCTGATACATGCATTTATACTAGTCATGCTCTCAATGCCTTAAGTTTTGCTTTTCTGAATATCCAAATTAACTGAGCCTGAGTAACTCAGTGCATCTCTCCTATCAAAAGTTAAGTTTTGCTCACCTATATCCCCCACTGATCCCCACTTAATAGGAACTGTCTGGAACACAACTAACACACACCTACAGGAGAGAGCTCTACACAAGACATAATTCTCAAAAATATGGCCAGTGCACATCACAGAGTGCCTGTTCTCTAAGCTAAGTATCTGAGGTCTTTCTGCTTCACCCCAGCGCCCCTGAATCTCTGAAGCTGTTCTATGTAGATAACAGGTAAGTGAGCTTTAAAAAAGTTTAAAAAAAAGAGCACACAAGCATGGTCAGAAAGCTGAGTTCCTGGGACTGTATTTAGCCCCAGCAAACGGGAAGAGTCAGCTGTTTAGGACGTTATCAGAGACAGGATGAAATGTGACTGGCACACTCACACAGATGGAAGAGGATTGAACCCAGGTGCCCCACATCCTGGGGGAAGGTTCTATCTATTAAGATACTGTATTAGTGACTGCTAAAGCTGTAATTTACAATAGAAATAATGGCTGACACTGTTTATAAAAAGACCAGTACTACCAGCACGCACGAGTCATGTTTTGAGAATGCTTATCAGAACAGACTCAGGAGAGCCTCGGAGGGTCATCTCATTTGAGATGTTAGGCTTATGCCTGACAGCAGGTATCTGACACTGAGCTGCTCAGCTGTGTCAACACCAGGCAGCTCTGATCTTAAAGAGACTACTAGTCACTTGGGAAAGAGCACCTATAGACTACACACACCTCTGTGGTTGCTTCAACTGTTAGACATATACAGAGAAAAGGGAAGACACAAAATAGCTTAACATGTTTTTCTTATCAAGGACAAGACTCGTTCTGCAAAATATGAATAAACAGCACTATTTAAGCACTTCTTGGAAATGTAGTGGTAGAGCTGAAATATGAGGGCTATGCAGGACTGAATCAAAACCTGGTGAGGCATCTTTAAACCAAAAAATAGCAGTGTGGGTTGTGTGAAAAATGGAAGGCACTTGTTTGGACACCTCTAACATTTCTGCTTTCAATACAAAAGAAAAGAAGAAATACAGCACGTGCACTGGATACAATAAATTTGATGCTGTTAAAAATTTTGTATTTCTGCAGTGTTTGCAATTAGAATGGATAATCAACTAATGAGTATCTGAGACCAAGTAACTCCCTCTCATGAATCAACATTCTACTCATGCAATACCAGTTTTCAATAATGGAGCAAACTTGCTAAAAGCCTAGAAACTTGGTTTAGAGAGACATAATTTTCTCAATGCAATAGGAAGGAACCAAACCAAAACTTACCCGAGGACAGCACAATTTCAGCAAGTTTATGGTTTTCCCACATATGTATACATCATTAGCAATATGTTTAAGAAATACAGGGACACAATCTTCAACTTCTTTTGAAATCAAAACATAACCATGAGTCCAGTAATGTTTATCTACATATCAAACAAAAAGATGAGAGCATGTATTTTTAATTATTTAATTAACAGCACAAATTATATAAATTAGAAATGCTCCATATAAATACTGTACCTCTGAAACAAAGATAATCCTCATTCACCTGGATCATAAATTCTCCATAAACATCTCTAAATACACCACTGTATACCCAATCGTAGATAAATCTAAAAAAAATAAATATATAATTGTACAATATTCAAAATCAATCCTCTCACCTTCTCAACTTTATTAAAATCAAACAGTATGTTCTTTACATCAAAACACAGAATATAGGCAGGATAAAAACCAGCAATTAAGTGCTGTCACACTGATGTTTAAAGATACACACAGGATTGTGTCTCTACATTTTTCTTAAACCATCTCTATATGGAACATTTCAGTGATAATTAGTTAAGATGAAAGAACATTGCCCTAATTAAAACAACCTTTTTATTTCTGTATATTAATTTACCAAGTATATATTAAAATTTTCTAGAAATCTTTGCAGCACTTCAATAGCATGGGATCAGATAAGCAGGAAGGATTTATTTTAAAGAGAGGAAACTTAGGCAGGGAGAAACTGAAAGAGTATAAAACAAAGATGCAACACCAAGCACTTTTTTCCCAGACCTAGAGACATTTTTAATATACAAGAATATTTTGGAATATTTATTCATACTTTTCCATATGCCTCTGTGAAGCCAAACTTTTGAAGAAATAAAAAAATACCTAGTTATCTGAAGCCATAGATAAAAAGGCTGGAAGCAGCTTGAATCTAATCTTTTCTTTTCTTACTAGCTGCAATATTGCTTCTAGACATTAGGTCAGTGTAACAAACAGGAAGCATTTAGCACAAGAAACACTGTTCAATTTTAAGGTTGTAAGTAAGAAGTTAAGAACTTTTGAAGTGGTAAACCTGATGTTTCTATGATTTATTTGAGCAACAACTTCTATTACTTAATTTCTTTCAGGTTAATAAATGAGTGGGATAATACTTTCTGCAGATAATGGACAAGACAGCCCTGAAGTACGATTGATGTCTTGATAGAGGTCTGCAACAAATTAAGGATTAAAAGCTTTATGTATCCCATACTAGTAAGCATACTTTCATATATTTTAGGTTCCTTGTGATGCCATGACATCCTGGCCCTTTCTATTTCAGAAACCTGACAGCCTTCTGTAAATTGCAGGGCAGGAGCTGTGAAGATATTTCAATGAGTCTTCTGGTAAATCTGAAATTAAATTTCTCCAAAGAACATTTAGTGTAGAAGAAAGAAAAAACAAGAAGGGTGGCCACGGGAGGAATCTTAAATTTAGAGCACTTTGACAGATTTTGGTTTTCTCTCTCTAGGATGACTACATCTGTGAAGTATCACTGTAAACTGATGATGGACTGCAGCTAAAACCCCTATAAATAGCTATTTAAAAAAATTTAGCATTTCTTCAAAGCCTATAAACTATCTATTTCCAAATTGATGTGCACTGCTTAACAAAACTGTTGCAATCCAAGGAACTCTATTTCCTATTGTTAGTTACAGCTACTTAATGAACAACAGGGTTTGTTTTTTTTTTTTATTTTTGCCCACAAGAAAAAGAGAGTGGAAATAAGCACAAACTTCCCCAGTTTGTGCAACACCACAAGAGAAACCTGTTAGTTGCCAGTTTCAGGGCTTTACTACAGGTATGAGAAGAAAAAAAGTAGAAGTTTATCTGAGTCTTACGAATTTCCAGTACCAGCAGCAAGAAGGAAGTCTTATTTACAGGTATTTATTTACCAATCTAGTCACATATAAAACACTTATGTTGTTACTGAGCTGGAGGAGAGAGGGAAAGGATTCAGCAAAATGAATTAATTTTAATACGTATTTTGCAGATACAACCACGTCTAATATTATCTCTGAAGATGTTAAAAGCCATTATTAAATTAGTGGAGTTACTGACTAGATTACTAATTCAGAACTGCTCTTAAACACAATTATGCAGAGAACAGTATGGACGCACCTTGTGTATGGTTCACAGCTTGTCTTCAACAAAGACAGAAGAACTGGATAATGCTCATTGCTGCAGTTGTTGAGAGCCTCTTTGTACAGATATGAAAGCAATTTAACACCCTAAAAAATTGGAAAATATTCTAATATTAGGGAACAAACTTCACTACAACTTTTATAACAAAAGACTCATAAATGCACAGCTGTACGTGTTTCCCTAGACAAAGAAGGCAGGATTGTTCAGCCCGGAGAGGAGAAGGCTCCAGGGAGACCTCATAGTGCCTTCAACACCTAAAGGGGGCCTACATGAGAGATGGGGAGGGACTCTTTATCAGGGACTGTAGTGATAGGACAAGGTGTAATGGTTTTAACCTGAAAGAGGGGAGATTTAGATTAGATATTAGGAAAAAATTCTTTACTGCGAGGGGCGTGAGACACTGGCACAGGTTGCCCAGAGAAGCTGTGGATGCCCCATCCCTGGAAGTGTTCAAGACCAGGCTGGATGGGGCTTTGAGCAACCTGGTCTACTGGGAGGTGTCCCTGCCCGTGGCAGGGAGGTTGGAACTAGATGATCTTTAAGGTCCCTTCCAACCCCCAAACTACCCTATGATTCAATGATTCACTTCCTCTAGCTATCTAGTGATCTAGTTAAGATCACTTTATCTGAGCAAGTTACCTCAAGCTCACATTATAGTCACTGCAGGGAAACAGGTATGTTTAGAGTTGGATTGATTTAACTTGCTACAAACATCTCCTTTAGACTGCAGTGAAATGCACTCCAAGGCTTATTTTGGGTCCTTTGTTTACTTTAGGAATTGAAAACACAGGACCATCTGGAGGAGGATCCTGGCACTGTAACTGGAGGTCCAAGGTCATATCTTTGGTAACAGAGACACTAAATATTTCATGTAAAATCCTACCTAATTTTGAACAATATTAACATTGTAACCCAAGCAAAACAAAAACATCAAATTAATTATCACCGTGGGAAATGAAGCACCAGCTCCACCACTGATCCCCAGCGTCGTTGTTCCTATGCCACAAAGTTCAGCTAAATACCTAAAAGACAATATTAAAACATATGTAACAATTTCAACCAGAAGTCTCTGAGATCACAGTAATAAACTTTGCTAAAGCTGAGTATCACACAAGAACCCTACTGTATCAGCTGAATGGTAACAGGGATAACAAAGAAACTGAATATAAAGACTTCACATGCTTTCCCTAGAATCTTCTGGATATAAAGAAATCTTTCTGTTAAAATAAAATACAGCAAAAATACTGAAAGACTGTGTAAGAATGCCTGTGTAATATTGTCTCTTTTAGTATATTTGAAGAAAGATCGCACTTTTTTCTGCTATGAAAGGCTTAAATATTTAATATTACTCTCTCACCTCAACTGACGACCTAATTTTCTGAAGAGAAAGCTGATCGTTAGGAGACTTAAAGTAGGAGGTGTTGACAAAACACAGGCTCGGTAATATTGCAGATACTTTCTCAGCCCACTTGTGAATGCCTAGTATCAACAGAAAATAAAAATCTTACTGTTAAAGCTGTTAATAACCTATCTACATCTCACATCAATTGCATCAGCACGAAAACAAACCTTTTACTAAAATAATTTGCATACACAGGTAAGAGGGAGTTGTATACCAAAGTGGAAAGTGAGAGTCCATGCCACTTCAGACACTCAAATTAGCCAGGTGACTCCTCTACACTCTTTACACACCGGATGCGTGGAGCCTGTACCCACACACAGTATCATAAAGTATCTTGGTTCAGCTTCTTTGAATTGCCCTTTGAGGAGCTCCTCGTTCTCCAACAGCTGTAATATGCATCTACAGAAACCTGTTTCCTTACTTTCATGCCTAAACTGGACACTGGAAAAAACTCATCTGGAATTTTGTCTATCAAGACAAGGAGAGAGACCTTCTTATTCATTTTCTGTTAACATTGTTGTAAATCTAATCTTCAGAAAGAATACATTTTCATAACCAATCCTAACTTCATTCTATGCAACAGGAAGAGATGAGATCACTTGATATTACACAGTGTATGTACAGTTCAGCATAATATACGCAGGACCCAAAGGGAAAATTTGCACTTAATTCTGAACTGAGAAAAAATTATTAAAGCTATTAAATGTCATATTTCCCTATTTCAGTGTTTATTTTTTAAAAATATATATATATAAATACTGTACGAAGAAATTTCTTGCATTTTAATTTTATACATCTTAATGTACAAATATACAAATTGCACTTCTGAGGACAAGGATCTGGGGGTCCTGGTGGGTAGTAAGCTATCCATGAGCCAGCAATGTGCCCTTGTTGCCAAGAGGGCCAATGGAATCCTGGGCTGCATAGGGAAGAGTGTGGCCAGCAGGTCAAGGGAGGTCATTCTCCCCCTCTACTCTGCACTGGTGAGGCCACAACTGGAATTCTGCATCCAGTTCTGGGCTCCCCAGTTCAAGAGGGACAGGGAACTACTGGAGAGAGTCCAGCGTAGGGCAACCAAGATGATTTGAGAACTGGAGCATCTCCCTTATGAGGGAAGGCTGAGAGAGCTGGGACTCTTTAGCCTGGAGACGAGAAGGCTGAGGGGAGACCTTACTAATGCTTGTAAGTATCTAAAGGGTGGTTTGAGGGAGGATGGAGCCAGACTCTTTTCAGTGGCTCCCAGGGACAGGACGAGGCAACGGGCACAAGCTGGAACATGGGAAGTTCCACTTAAATATGAGGAAGAAATTCTTTACGGTGAGGGTGACAGAGCCCTGGAACAGGCCGCCCAGGGAGGTTGTGGAGTCCCCTTCTCTGGAGATTTTCAAGACCCGCCTGGATGCAGTCCTGAGTGATGTGCTGTGGGCAATCCTGCTTTGGCAGAAGAGTTGGACCAGATGATCTCTAGAAGGCCCCTTCCAACTCCAACAATTCCGTGATTCCATGAAATATGTAATGTTTTTAAAACATCTAAAAATGGTATTACTTTAGTCCTCAATAGAACAACATGACTAAACAAATTACGCTTCAGAACTTTTACCATGTTTCAGTGCAAGCAAGCCCTTTGTCCCCAGAGCTGTGATTTAAAAGGAGTTGCACTGTTCATTGCTGACCTGGGATGAGCATTACACTTCAAATGCTTTGCAGTTTTGCAGAATGAAGAAATTTCAGCTTTACACGAAATCGAGATTACCTTCTCTACCCAAGATAATTGGCCATTAAATCTAGATTACTTAATCCAATTGTTTTACCTGAAACACAAGTCCTTTGCTGTATGAAGAATCTAAAACTGGCTGAAGAGAAAAACGACTTAGCCGTGTGTAATAGGTTCCATACTCTGCAACTTCTGAGAGCAGGTTGTGCATTGTCTCTGGTGAAGTTCCAGATACATATACTCCCTCCTTTATCACAAATGTCTGTGCAGCCTAAAAAGATACAGGAAGAAAAAAAAAAGCCAGATTAAAGTATTTCATAGCTGTATTCTGATTTAAAACAGCAAATTTTTATACACAAAAATAACAGCAGACAAAATTTTTCAGTTTAGATACTCTGGTGACTGAGACTATATAGTTAGGACAGTGTGATAAACTTATTAGATTGTAGCAAAAATTCAGGAGTGTGAATAGTATTTTCAAATATACAGAATAAGACTCATTATCTAATTCCTTAAAGAAAATCCAATCAACAAAACTATTTGCACATCTATTTTCAAGTAGTCATAAACGTATTTTCACTTGGAGGACTACAAATACTCCTAGCCTATTGCAATAACATCATTATTGCAATATATTGCCATTAGGTCACACTCAACTTTTTATCAGTATCCACAACTGCAAGATCTCAAGAGAAACTGAGAAAAGAGAAATGTATTGAAGAGGAAACATCTACAAAGAAAGAAAGAAAAAGACGCAACCAAGTGCAGTTAAAAATCTTCCATACCTGATTGAGTGAAAACGTAGTGGATACCACACCAATGAGGACATTCAAGACATCCTTAACCAGTTCAGGTTCTTTCATTAGCACGAGCTGTGGGAGCTGAAGTACAGTACTACTGAACAGTTGCAATTCCCCTTCTCGAAGTTTGTAAAACTTGTCAAAAGCTTCTCTCCCAGCTTCAGTAAGATATGGTTCCTCTTTTTTACCAGGTGGGCTGTGTCAGAGTAAACACAACATTATAAGGTGACTATATGAAAAGAAGGAAATGTATTTCCTAATGAAAAAAAGGCATTTCAGAATTTTACACAGCCAGTATTGACCACAGAGAAAGGCACTAGTAATGTAGTACATTGTCAAAGGAATGTGGATTCCGTCAATGAAACTCTAGCCCAAAATTAATACAGTTAAGAAATAGGTAGATAATTTGAACATCAGTTCAGAGACCAAAACCTTGACAGACAATTACCAGCTTCTTTCGTGGACTTCCCTGATGCAGTTTTCACATTAGGAAAATGAGGTCAATGTATACCAGGTTTCCAGGGTCCATGACTTGCATAATGACTTGTATTAACACATTTTAGCTCTTCCCAGTGAGGATTACTATCGACCTTCAAAATTCTTCAAAAATTCTGAATTCTAGTAGGTGTCAGGCATATGGTCTATATTTGTCTCTAAAGATCCCTACCATCTAAATGGCAGCAAGAAAAACTGTCTTTTGCTAGGAACAAAGCCAGAGTGTGCTTCAGTGGCTTTGAAAAATCAGATCAGGGAATTCCTGAGTTTCTGAGCTTCTCAGGCTCAGAGGTGAAAAAAAGACTGTATAACACTATAACAGACATGCTGCTAGATTATTACTTAAAATGACAGAAATCATACAGAGCCGTTTCTCCAAGAATCTGGCACACCGCTATTCATCGGGCATGTAAGGAAGATACCTGCCTTTTTTTTTTCCTTCCATTTTGGGGAAACTAAGAAGCTTTAACAAGACTATATAGAGCCTTCTCTCAGGAGATGCATCTTCTGCTCAACAGCCAAAAGAACTACAAGTCTAGCTACACCATCAAGAAGTCTGTTGTAACAATGTCCGATTTGGTTACAGAGAAGGAAAAGGAACATAATACTGTACAATACTGGGAGATATGGGTTTAATTATTCTAGTGCTCTACAACTACCACTTTCTTTTTTGAAACTGAAAATATGGAATCATTTTACACTGAGATAAATTGCAGAGTGCATTAGAAGTCATATTAGTTAGAAAAATGTTGCATTTCACACAAACAGCAAATGCTCCCATAATCCCTTCAGTGTTTTTGACAGAGATGACCTTGTTTTACCTCTTCCTGTGAAACAGCTGCAATCTAAGAACTAGACCTTTATTCCTTACTCAATCATTAATGCAGTATATTGAATTCTGTAAATTAAATATGAATGTTTCGCTATTTATACTAAGGTCACTCGTATCTAAGATGACATGCACCTTCATACATTTGCATATGAAGCATAGCAAGTTTGCCAGTAACATCAGACACATACTATCCAATTCTTTCCCAACATCTTCGTTTGCTGGGTCCATAGGTAAGCACTGCGTCCCACAGGTCTATGTCTGGAGTCATACTCGGCTCTGACTGAGAATCGGGAGTCAGATTGGATGCTGACTGGAATCCCTCATCTTCTGACTGGTCTATACTTTGGGGAACCTGTCAGAGAGAGTTCAAATATTATGCATGAAAACATTTTACTGAAGTAACATATGCTAATAAGGAAGATGCTATCGTTCATGATCAAGTGACTCTACAAACTCAACCTGTGTCGTCCACCCTCCCTTTATATCTATTTTAAGTTTCTCCTGTAAGCACTCTTTTCATTTGCTAAGTCTCTATGGGATTAATGCCTACACATAAAGGAACAATCACCATCAAAATAATATACTAAGTTTGTTGGTGTTAAACTTGAAACTTACTTCTTTGCTAAGCATATAGTTCCAAAAACTGACAATCTGAGGTTTGGATATTCAACAATATATAACACTAATAAAATCATACTGCTCAGTATTTCATTTGGGCACACGATCCAGGCCCTAATTCCTCTAATTTGTAAACATTTTGTTAAGTCTGACTAACCTAGTTTGTTTCCTTATGCTTATTCATATGCAGAAAATCTGCAGGTATCCAAAGAGTGTATATGCCACATCCTTAACTCCCACCCAACAGGAGTTGTATATGCAGAATAGTATTCAATTTTAGTAAAAGACAATCACACCCACATAAAAAGCAGCACGTTCTTCAAAAAATTGCAGATCTTCCAGTCTGATGGAAAGAGTATAGCACTTACTCTGAAAGGTTCTGCCTCCCCTAAGTTACAACTTACATCCGTATATGCACAATGAACAGTAACATGTCTACCTCAAGGTTTCAGTTAAGACCCTAAGTTAAGGGAACAGGAGGAGCCAGCCACATGTTAAGTAGAGGGAATAAAATGAAGATTAGAAGTACAGAAATATAAAAAACCTACCAGACACAATAAAAATGTAAAGAAAGAAAAAAAAGCCCAACAACTTTATCTAGTACCTAATGAGAACAAAACATAGCAAAAATAAACACAATGGACAGCAAAAGGGGAAAAAAAGACATAGCAGCAACTGTATACACTGAAAAGGCAAAAGGACAGCGGGAATTAGGAGACTCAATGAAATATAATAGCCACAAAAAGTGTTTTAAGATACAACAAGCCAAGAAGAAAATACAAGTAGTTAGGTAATGTAATCTGAACAGCAGAACACATACATTCAGGCAGGAACACTTACGCAGCCAGGCTGAACAGTCACAAGTAAGCAGCAATGCAAAGGGGATCGATATACAAAGCAGGGAAAACAGAAGCAAAAGACTGCGAGGGTGGGGAGGGCACAGATACAGCTGATGGTTTAACTGCGTAACGCCTGTGGCCACACGAAGGTTCTGTACACAGTTATAGGACAAGATCAAGGTTTTCACTATCATACATCCCTGTATCCAAAAAGCTTATCTGCTTCTCAGCAAAGGATCCCTGCTCCATCTTAAATTCCAACACTGTATGCTTCTATTACAAATTAAACCACTACCTATATTTTAAACTACAGTTTTGAAGTGGCACACTGAAAGCATGCAGACACTCTCAAGTCCAAAACAAATGACAGCATACTTTAATTGCAAGTCCAGACAAATCTGCATTGTCAGGCACCGGTGGCAAATCCAGCTTGATGTCCATGTCATAGGTACGGCTGTGGACAAGAGCACCGAAGAGCGAGACCCGCGTTTCTTTCTCAAACTTGTCCCCAGCTGGATAGTTCTGTGAGAACATCCCTATGGCCGGGAGCCCAGTGCCAGGTGCAGCCTCCATTATCTGCAGCGTCTTCTGAATCGCGTCGTTGAACTGACACTCTTCGTTGGTTATGAGAGACTGTATATCAGCCTCAAACACGCTTACATCATAGTAATCGTAGCCCTGATATTTGACATTTCTCCCAACGTATTTGTTGTTCTGAAAATAGTCCTTCTTTTGTGGTACGAGCTGAGGAGGACCTGTTCCAGCGAGCTGTACTAAGAGATCTAAGACAGAATTAACTTCAGTAAACGGCAAGCATTCCATTGTTTCCAGTTCCTCCACCAGATTCTCCAGCCTATCCGCTTGAGCACCTAGGCCACCAACTCTCAAGTTGAAAGACAGCATCAAAATTTTGTTTTTCACTGGGAGCCTGGAAACATTTGATTGCAGCTTACGGGCCTCGTCTTGAAAAAGATTTATGAACAGGGCATTATAAGCAACCCTCTTCAGGTTTTGCTTAGCCCTTCTCTTGCTGATCTTCCGCCTGCCCAGGTGGACCTTCCATGGCAAACCCGCCAAGTGTGCTTCACACAAATCATTGAACAACTGCGTAATGCTCTCCATTTCTCATCAAACCGTCAGGTGACGGCAGGCACAGTCTGGGTCTCTGGTCTCATGGGACGACCTGAAAAATACCAGAGAAAGAAATAAACACTTGTAACTTGCGTATGAGAAACTGATGAGTATACTTCAACGTAAAGCAAGACAGGCCAAAAAATGAGAGAGAAGAAAACTGACCTAGCACATTATTTAGGACGTGAGCTATAAAAATAACATTATGACTTTCACCCCGAGCAAAGCGGTGGTGGTGCAAGCTTAACCCCAGACACCCGATTTCGCTCGGCAGATTGACACAGCAGAGAGACGGCCGCCCTGATCTAACACGGGACACCTGCGGGAACACCTCCAGAGGCCTCACCGCCCCAGCTCTCCTCAGGAGACACCCCCCCCACACCGCCACCGGCCTCCCCCCTGCCCCGCGCCCTCGGCAGAAGCCGCGGGGCCACTGCGGAGCGCGGCAGAGACGCGGGACGCAGAGGCGGGCTGCCGACGGTGACGGACAGCGCGGGGCTGGCCTGAAGGCACCGGCCGTCCCCGGGGCGGCTCTGGCGCACCCACCGAAACGGCGCGGGGGATGCCGGCCCCGCCGTAGGGGCCTGCTCTGTCCCGGGGCAGGGCGGCGCCGTGCCCGGCCCGTGACGCCTCCCTCCCCTGCCCGCCGGCGGG